ACTACCTACACCCGTGCCTAGATCTCACACACCTGTACTACCTACACCCGTGCCTAGATCTCTCACACCTGTACTACCTACACCCGTGCCTAGATCTCACACACCTGTACTACCTACACCCGTGCCTAGATCTCTCACACCTGTACTACCTACACCCGTGCCTAGATCTCTCACACCTGTACTACCTACACCCGTGCCTAGATCTCTCACACCTGTACTACCTACACCCGTGCCTAGATCTCTCACACCTGTACTACCTACACCCGTGAGTAAATCTCTCACACCTGTACTACCTACACCCGTGCCTAGATCTCACACACCTGTACTACCTACACCCGTGCCTAGATCTCACACACCTGTACTACCTACACCCGTGCCTAGATCTCTCACACCTGTACTACCTACACCCGTGCCTAGATCTCTCACACCTGTACTACCTACACCCGTGCCTAGATCTCTCACACCTGTACTACCTACACCCGTGCCTAGATCTCTCACACCTGTACTACCTACACCCGTGCCTAGATCTCACACAATGTATACCTACACCCGTGCCTAGATCTCACACACCTGTACTACCTACACCCGTGCCTAGATCTCTCACACCTGTACTACCTACACCCGTGCCTAGATCTCTCACACCTGTACTACCTACACCCGTGCCTAGATCTCACACAATGTACTACCTACACCCGTGCCTAGATCTCTCACACCTGTACTACCTACACCCGTGCCTAGATCTCTCACACCTGTACTACCTACACCCGTGCCTAGATCTCACACACCTGTACTACCTACACCCGTGCCTAGATCTCACACACCTGTACTACCTACACCCGTGCCTAGATCTCACACACCTGTACTACCTACACCCGTGCCTAGTTCTCACACACCTTTACTACCTACACCCGTGCCTAGATCTCTCACACCTGTACTACCTACACCCGTGCCTAGATCTCACACACCTGTACTACCTACACCCGTGCCTAGATCTCTCACACCTGTACTACCTACACCCGTGCCTAGATCTCTCACACCTGTACTACCTACACCCGTGCCTAAATCTCTCACACCTGTACTACCTACACCCGTGCCTAGATCTCACACACCTGTACTACCTACACCCGTGCCTAGATCTCACACACCTGTACTACCTACACCCGTGCCTAGATCTCTCACACCTGTACTACCTACACCCGTGCCTAGATCTCTCACACCTGTACTACCTACACCCGTGCCTAGATCTCACACAATGTATACCTACACCCGTGCCTAGATCTCACACACCTGTACTACCTACACCCGTGCCTAGATCTCTCACACCTGTACTACCTACACCCGTGCCTAGATCTCTCACACCTGTACTACCTACACCCGTGCCTAGATCTCACACAATGTACTACCTACACCCGTGCCTAGATCTCTCACACCTGTACTACCTACACCCGTGCCTAGATCTCTCACACCTGTACTACCTACACCCGTGCCTAGATCTCACACACCTGTACTACCTACACCCGTGCCTAGATCTCACACACCTGTACTACCTACACCCGTGCCTAGATCTCACACACCTGTACTACCTACACCCGTGCCTAGTTCTCACACACCTTTACTACCTACACCCGTGCCTAGATCTCTCACACCTGTACTACCTACACCCGTGCCTAGATCTCACACACCTGTACTACCTACACCCGTGCCTAGATCTCTCACACCTGTACTACCTACACCCGTGCCTAGATCTCTCACACCTGTACTACCTACACCCGTGCCTAAATCTCTCACACCTGTACTACCTACACCCGTGCCTAGATCTCACACACCTGTACTACCTACACCCGTGCCTAGATCTCACACACCTGTACTACCTACACCCGTGCCTAGATCTCTCACACCTGTACTACCTACACCCGTGCCTAGATCTCTCACACATGTACTACCTACACCCGTGCCTAGATCTCTCACACCTGTACTACCTACACCCGTGCCTAGATCTCTCACACATGTACTACCTACACCCGTGCCTAGATCTCTCACACATGTACTACCTACACCCGTGCCTAGATCTCTCACACCTGTACTACCTACACCCGTGCCTAGATCTCTCACACCTGTACTACCTACACCCGTGCCTAGATCTCTCACACCTGTACTACCTACACCCGTGCCTAGATCTCTCACACCTGTACTACCTACACCCGTGCCTAGATCTCTCACACCTGTACTACCTACACCCGTGCCTAGATCTCTCACACCTGTACTACCTACACCCGTGCCTAGATCTCTCACACCTGTACTACCTACACCCGTGCCTAGATCTCTCACACCTGTACTACCTACACCCGTGCCTAGATCTCTCACACCTGTACTACCTACACCCGTGCCTAGATCTCTCACACCTGTACTACCTACACCCGTGCCTAGATCTCTCACACCTGTACTACCTACACCCGTGAGTAAATCTCTCACACCTGTACTACCTACACCCGTGCCTAGATCTCACACACCTGTACTACCTAACCCGTGCCTAGATTTCCCCCCCCCCCTCCCCCCCCCCCCCCCCACACACCTGATGTCCTCACACCTGTTATTTTTCCATCCACTTTCGATCATCGATAACATCGATCAGATCAATATCTGATCAGCACTCCAGAAAAGAAATATTTGCTTATGATTATCAAAATCCTCCCCTCCAACCCCCTCCCCCCACCCCTCCTTCCTGCCAATATTTTTATTCCCACCTCAGGTTCCACAACTCTTCATATTTTCATCTCTCCATCGAACCACCAAACGAACAGAGTTTCACATTGTCTCCCTTGATCGTTTTGGGTCCGGCGTTCAATTATTCTAATTGTTAAGGGAAAGGTTAAAAGCCAATTCTGTTGCTGGGGTTTAGTCGGTCGGGTTGTTAAGTGGTTTAGGGTTGGGTTTTTGGGTTTGTGCATGGGAAATGACAGGATGGGACTTGTGGATATTTTGAGGATTATACGACATGTTTTTGTAATTACAATTAATTAGGATTGTAAAAATTGTGAGTAGATATTTTTGAACGTTTGAAGTTGGAGAAGAGAATGCGTTTAATTAATGCTAGGCAGTTACAATTGTATGGCAGTACCAGTATCTTCCATGAGCGGAAACAGAAGGTGGGGTCTTAATGGGTGAGTCAGGGTAATAAGGAAGGGGGGTGGGTCTTTGTCTATAGGTGAATGTTAGGCGGGTGGGTCTGGGAGAGGAGGGGGGGTCTTTGTGTAGAGGTGAATGCTAGGTAAGTAGGTCTGAGTAAGAAGGGGGTCTATAGCGGTGAATTTTAGGTGGGTTGGTCTTTTTGGGCAAAGGCGTGTATCTGTTTTGTGAGGTTTAAAGAGGGTAGGGGGGGGGGGGTCTCTTGGAAAGGTTGTTTAAGGTGAAGTGTATACACAAGGAGCAGACAATGCCTTTTTTTGAAATGGAGACTTCAATTTTTAAAAATTGAAAAACAAAATTTAAAAATATTATTTTTTTCTTTTAAAGTACAATAGCAACGAACATAACAAAACCTGTCAATAACAAATTTTAATTCGAATAATATTTGCATTTTTTAAATATTCTTTTTTATAATACTCATTTATATTATAAAAACTATTTTCTAACTGCGTGGATTCCTCGCCTTGTTAAGTTTTATGTATTTGATACTCACAATTAGCGCGCTCCATCAATGCCTCGTTTTGATGGATATTATTTAAAATGTCTCGCGGGGTGACATCCCTTGATGTGAGTTCCTTCCCCTTGTTGTTTTTAATCCCGCGGATGAAGCGGGAGATCGATTTGCCACACATTGCTTCGCGGAAAGATGCAGGTAAATATGTGCTCAGCGAAGACATTAGCTGCTTGGTTACACAGCGTCATGTATGTAGTTTAAGTATTTTAAACTGCTGTTGATGTATTCGATTGATAACGGTTGGGGGTGGGGGGTAGGGGGGTAGAATGATTACGGGATTTTTTATTTTTTATTGGTAGCTCACTGTTTAAACTAAACATTTGTATTTTATTACCTAAAGGCGGAAACCTTTTGACTAAAAGATTTATCACAACTGCATAGCGACACATCACTGCACTATAACGACACAAAGCGATTAATCTAACGACGCAGCACACATAAATAACAACGCTCTGTGAGTATCTAAAGATGCGCTACACCTACATAACGACACATCTTAGTAATCAATGCATCCTGGGCAACGACGGGCCCATTTACTTACGCTTACACACGCTTACATACGCTTACATACGCTTACATACACGTACATACAGTTACATACACTTACATACACTTACATACACTTACATACACTTGCATACACTTACATACACTTACATACACTTACATACACTTGCATACACTTGCATACACTTACATACACTTACATGCACTTACATACACTTACATACACTTACATACACTTACATACACTTACATACACTTACGTACACTTACATACACTTACATACACTTACATACACTTACATACACTTACATACACTTACATACACTTACATACATCTACATACTTTTACATACACTTACATACATTTATATACACTTAAATACACTTACAAGCTTACATAATATAAAATTTCAGTAATAGTATTCAATACATAATACAGCCATTTTATATTTCAATAGTCTCTAATCGCAATGTTAAATACATTTGCACACCGAATCAACGCACCGAAATGTATTCATAGCGCGATAAAATTGTACATTGTATAGCAAATTGTATATATAATTTTTTTAAATATTAATTAAACATCTAACTATGTCTAAGTTAATGTCTCATTGCATTGTCTTCGGGTCTTGATCCTCATCGTTTTGGTAGAAACGGTTGACATTTCGTTTGATCCATATCATAACAAAAAAAAACCAACAGAACGATAGGGGAATCAAGATGAATAAAACCTTATTAAAAAATTGTTTTTTATTTCCTCTTGTAAGCCGGTTCACATTTTTTGGTGACAGACAGACGGAAGTAGAATGGCGACGTATTTCAATGTTTCACACGATCGCGAAAGAATTGTTTACTTGACGTTCGCAACGCTGAACAGAAGAGGAAATGACTTGATCTAAGTTCCCTGATCAGCTCAACGCGTCCTATTGATGGCCACGTTCGTCCTATCTATCTCACGTCGCCTAGCCTCATCTCTGCGTAACTTTTTACTCGTCTTGATTACTACGGAACTAGTCTACTGGTCAGTGCTTGGCATCACTCTAGAAGAAGGTCTTCTGAAGTACAATGCCATCGAATCGAATGATCAACCCGTACGAACCGCTAGTGATAATGAGGTATTTTACAAATTAGGGGTTGACCGACAGTGGAATTTTAATTCAACAATTTAAAAAAGTGTGTTTTGCTGTTAATACTTTTGTATGAACGTTAAGAGGACGTTTTAAAATGTAATATTCAGTTAATTTGACCAATGCCCATTTTCACCTGGAAAAAAAACCGAGACTAAATTGTGTTACAGAGGTTTTTTTATGAGAAGCGTCTCTTAAACAATCTACTAATGTGTATGATAATGTGAAGACTCTCCTTTATACTTTCATATTAGCTAGCATGCATCCCATCGGGAACATTAGCCCCTACATTAACCCATACATTAGCCCCTACACTAACCCATATATTACCCCCTACACTAACCCATATATTAGCCCTAATACTAGCGCCATCATTAGCCCCTACACTAACCCATATATTAGCCCCTGCACTAACCCATACATTAGCCCCAATACTAGCGCCATCATTAGCCCCTACACTACCCCATACATTAGCCTCAATACTTGCCCTATCATTAGCCCTACACTAACCCATATATTAGCCCCAATACTAGCGCCATCATTAGCCCCTACACTAACCCATATATTAGCCCCTACACTAACCCATACATTAGCCCCAATACTAGCGCCATCATTAGCCCCTACACTACCCCATACATTAGCCTCAATACTTGCCCTATCATTAGCCCTACACTAACCCATATATTAGCCCCAATACTAGCGCCATCATTAGCCCCTACACTAACCCATATATTAGCCCCTACACTAACCCATACATTAGCCTCAAAACTTGCCCTATCATTAGCCCTACACTATCCCATACATTAGCCCCTAGGATATCAAACACTTGCCAATACACCAACACTGGCACTAGCCCTTAGACCAGCTTAACACCAGCCCTTTCACAAGCCCTTAAATTAGCCCTTACACTAGCCCTTACACTAGCCCATACACCCGCCCCTAAAGAAGCCCCAACACCAGCCCTTACACCAGTCATTACATCAGCCCTTACATCAGCCCTTACATCAGTCCTTACACTAGTCCTTACATCAGCCCTTACACTAGCCCTTACATCAGCCCTTACACTAGCTCTTACACCAGTCCTTACATCAGCCCTTACACTAGCCCTTACACCGCTCCTAACACTTGCCCTTACACCAGTCCTTACACCAGTCCTTACATCAGCCCTTACACTAGCCCTTACACCTGTCCTAACACTTGCCCTTACACCAGCCCCTACTCTAGCGCTTACACCATACCTTAAACGTGCCCTTACATAGGTCCTTACATAAGCACGTACGTAAGCCCTTATACCATCCCTTACATTAGCCCTTACATCATCCCTTACATAAGCCCTTACATAAGCCCTAAAATAAGCCCCTACATAAGCCTTTATACCATCCATTACATAAGCCCTTACAACAGCCTTTAAATTATCCCTTACACCAGTCCTAACACATGCCCTTACACCAGCTCTTACATAAGCCCTTACACCAGCCCCTAACACCGTTCCTAACTATTGCCCTTACACCAACCCTAAAATGAAATGAAACACTAGCCACAACCAATAATATTACAACCAACCATACTACAACTTTTTCGACCCAATAAAAAACAAACATCAAGCAAACAGATCGGCGTAAACACACATTGTCATTTTAAAATAATGTTTAACTTAAAGTGTGCAGTAAACATTGCGCGGTCCTGTAATATTTATCTGGCCATTTAGCGGAATCCTCATTGTTGTGTTCTTACATAGTAATTTAAAGTACAAAGTAACAACGCATTGTCTCAACCAAAGAACTGTTCGAAGTATTTGTAATCATGGGATAAAAGGTTTGATGTTCGCTGGGGAAAAAACGTAAAACCCGTTTTTTTTGTTAAACGATAAACGCCGGAAGTTTTCGAATAGCCGTACCCACTTATCGATACGTACGTTGCTTTACTGATCATAAGCCTAGCCAATAAACTAAGTCCTTACTCGAAGGTATGGCTTACCGGTGAGGATATTCAGAATTCTAAACAAGAAGAGGTTTTTTTTAAAAATAGATTCCGGTTGATGGTATATGTTGAGATGTATGTTATACGCTTATCATATTTTCAATATTTGTTATTATCGGTATAAATCTTTGTCAGTTTGTGACACTCGACAGAAAAAAAAAACATGCCACATTTCCGTTTCTTGAAAGCAATTTTTTTAAAATAAATTAAATTAAATATTTTATTCCGTGCTGGGGCGTTGGACATGGTTTATTCTTTACACAGTTTCTTAATCAGTTACTACCTGCTCAAACAAAAAGAAGTATTTTTTCGATCTATTGAGACATCGGGAAATCGTCCATTCCGGAAATCATCAATTCCGGGAAACACTCATTCAGGAAAACGGCCTTTGTGCAAACGGCATTCGGGGAAGTGACTTTGATACGTCCAGTACCCACTTTTCTTTTCTTTTTTTCTTAAATCCATATCCAGGTCTTTCCCAATAACAGTACCCCACAAATAGAATGGCTACCTTTATCGCAAATAACAAGACGAATTTGTCCTAACCGCAAAACCCGCCTTAATATATGGTCGTAGTGGTAAAATTGATAAAATTAAAGACGATATTATAGATTTCATCAAGAGGTTACCTCCACCCACAACAGCCGTAAGTTTTCTGTGTTCATTCAATTAACATCAAGAAACCTTCCATTTTTATTGTTGGCATGGATAAAAATCGTATTTTTTTTGTCAATTAATAATATTTTTGCTTTCGTAAAAACGTTTTTTTTTTAATATTAAAGATTTGATATTTTAAGAATCAATAGTATCAATGTTGCAAATCTAGACAACTTGAAAATAATGTTGTTGTGTTTAAGGCTACATTTCTATTTATTTTCATCAAGCCTAAATTCTCACCTAAAGTATCACTTTCGTAAGACTTGACCAATCTTCTAAAAAAACCACACTTCCTAGTATTTTGTACCCAAAACTTGGCCGACCAATTTTTAAATAAAATTATAATTTTTAAACCACATGACCTAATTATACCATGCTCATGTAAATTTTCATTATACAAAATGTAAAATATAAAATTATTTTTGCCCTTATTAAAAAAGGTTTTTTGGTTACCGAAATTCCTAAAAGCATCAAATACATTCAATCTTTAGTCTAGTCCAGGGGTCTCCAAACTACGGCCCGCGGGCCGGATGCGGCCCGCGATGTCCTCTCATCTTTTTGTCCACGGAAAAACAGTTTGTTGGTGATGGCTGAGGAACTTTGCCTAGAAAAATCAAAGACATGCCTGGAAGAAACTGGCCCCCGAACTGAAATTGGATAGTTAATGCGGCCCTCGGACTGAAAAGTTTGGAGACCCCTGGTCTAGTTAAACAAAACCAAACAGATTTTTATAACCATATTTATTTTCATAACATCGTACATTATTTTTAAAATATTTAAGGGGCCTTGTGAATAACTCCAAGACTAGTCTCTCTTGGGCTCATTGATGCCCTGATTTTTCTATTCTAAAAAATATGTCCAACTTTATTTTACGGTAACACATAAGTTACCTCCCTTACAAAATGTAATATTTAAGCGCATAGGGGTCATCCATAAATGACGTCACACTCGTGGGGGGGTCCGTAATTTTGTGACGATGTGTGATGAGGGGGAGGGGGAGGGGGGGTTCAGATGTTGCGACGTCACATTTTTGCATTATAAAAAAGCAATGTTAGAAAACGAATTTTAGACGTTATTTCGCGTTTTAGAAAACTGTTTTAATAAATTGTAATAGTTTAGACAAAGATTTTGGAAAAATATCGATGTTTAAAAAATTCAACTGCAATTTTGAGGGGGGTTGTAGGTTGAGGTGTGACGTCATTTTAGGGGGGGGGGGGGTCTGGCTTTTTGTGACGACGTGTGACGGAGGGGAGGAGGTAAAAATCGTCAAAAAAAAGCCTGACGTCATTTATGGATGACCCCATATATCATTCAACTATTTCGGTAAACTACTAATATATTTTTTCACTGCGATCAGTTTCTGCAGACGTATATCAACTTCCTGTCCTCCAAAAACCCGGGTTTGTATATCCCTGTGGCCGGGGCTGGGATCTTGCTGGGCGCCCTGGGTAACATTGCGTACTTCGCCTTCTTCTGCAACAAAAAGAAACGCACCTTCTACACACGTGACTCACTCTACTTCCGGCGACTGGCATTCTTGGATCTACTCGTTTGTTTGTTTGTTTTGCCTTACAGTATAGTTTATGAAATGGAGTAAGTATTTGCTGTTGTTAGTATTTGGTGTTGTATTTGATGTTGTAAGTATTTGGTGTTGTATTTTGATGTTGTAAGTATTTGATTTGTGTTTGATGTTGTAAGTATCTGGTGTTGTATTTGATGTTGAAAGTATCTGGTGTTGTATTTGATGTTGTAAGTATTTGATTTGTATTTGATTTGTATTTGACGTTGTAAGTATCTGGTGTTGTATTTGATGTTGTTCTCGTGTTGTATTTGATGTTGTAAGTATCTGGTGTTGTATTTGATGTTGTAAGTATCTGGTGTTGTATTTGATGTTGTAAGTATCTGGTGTTGTATTTGATGTTGTTCTCGTGTTGTATTTGATGTTGTAAGTATCTGGTGTTGTATTTGATGTTGTAAGTATCTGGTGTTGTATTTGATGTTGTAAGTATTTGATTTGTATTTGATGTTGTAAGTATCTGGTGTTGTATTTGATGTTGTAATTCTCTGGTGTTGTATTTGATGTTGTAAGTATTTGATTTGTACTTGATGTTGTAAGTATCTGGTGTTGTATTTGATGTTGTAAGTATTTGATTTGTATTTGATGTTGTAAGTATCTGGTGTTATATTTGATGTTGTAAGTATCTGGTGTTGTATTTGATGTTGTAAGTATTTGATTTGTATTTGATGTTGTAAGTATATAGTGTTGTATTTGATGTTGTAAGTATTTGATTTGTACTTGATGTTGTAAGTATTTTATTTGTATTTGATGTTGTAAGTATCTGGTGTTGTATTTGATGTTGTAAGTATTTGATCTGTACTTGATGTTGTAAGTATTTGATTTGTATTTGATGTTGTAAGTATCTGGTGTTGTATTTGATGTTGTAATCATCTGGTGTTGTATTTGATGTTGTAAGTATTTGATTTGTATTTGATGTTGTAAGTATCTCGTGTTGTATTTGATGTTGTAAGTTTGATTTGTATTTGATGTTGTAAGTATCTGGTGTTGTATTTGATGTTGTAAGTATCTGGTGTTGTATTTGATGTTGTAAGTATCTGGTGTTGTATTTGATGTTGTAAGTATCTGGTGCTGTATTTGATGTTGTAAGTATCTGGTGTTGTATTTGCTGTTGTTAGTATTTGGTGTTGTATTTGATGTTGTAAGTATTTGATTTGTATTTGATGTTGTAAATATCTGGTGTTGTATATGATGTTGTAAGTATTTGATTTGTATTTGATGTAGTAAGTATTTGATTTGTATTTGACGTTGTAAGTATCTGGTGTTGTATTTGATGTTGTAAATATTTGATGTTGTATTTGATTTGTATTTGATGTTGTAAGTATTTGATTTGTATTTGATGTTGTAAGTATCTGGTGTTGTATTTGATGTTATAAGTATCTCGTGTTGTATTTGATGTTGTATGTATCTGGTGTTGTATTTGATGTTGTAAGTATCTGGTGTTGTATTTGATGTTGTAAGTATCTGGTGTTGTATTTGATGTTGTAAGTATCTCGTGTTGTATTTGATGTTGTCTGTATCTTATACTGTAAGAATCGTAACCCAGCGGTCGGATTTAAACCCTGACCTTGTCCATTGACACTAAGTCTACTCCATTGACACTGTGTTAACTCCATTGACCTTGACCCCTGACAATGTATCTACTCCACTGACCTTGTCCCCGACACGGTGTCTACTCCACTGACCTTGACCCCTGACACAATGCCCACTCGACTGACCTTGACTCCGGACAGTGTCCACTCCACTGACCTTGACTCCGGACAGTGTCCACTCCACTGGCCTTGACCCCTGACACAATGCCCACTCCGCTGGCCTTGACCCCTGACACAATGCCCACTCCACTGACCTTGACCCACGATCTTGACCCCTGACACCGTGTCCACTCCACCAGGCGGGTGAACCACAACTACGTCTGCAAGGTCCTAGAGTACGTCCGTCATTTCATCATCTACTGCGCTCATCTGGGACTCATCTCGTACGGGGTGGAGTTTTCTTTACGGCTGGGGTGAGTTGTCTTGTCTGACCCCCCCCCCCCCCGAACCCCCCTCCCACACACACCACACTGGAGGCTTAGAACATTACTCCCCCCCCCCCCCACATGAATTACATTCTTCCTATTGTCAATTATCCTCACCTTCTCTTTATATATATATATATATATATATATATATATATATATATATATATATATATATATATATATATATGACAACGATGAAGTGGGGACAACTTGACATTTTATAACACGTCCTTAGGTCTAAGGCCGACCAACCGCTTTAGAATATTAGTATTGTGATATTTTGATGTCGTAAACACCAGTGAGACTAGACCTATTTCACGAAATAGCGAAGAAAGTATTTCACTGTTAGTAAATCGTATTTTGTACTATCTACGTGCATTTTATAATATACAACTCTATCTATCCCAAAGGCGAACCCTATCCCTAATTCTAACCCTATCCCTAACTTCATTCTTAACCCTATCGCCAACCAAAGCCATATGAAGTTAAGGGTCCATTAGTGATAGACGGGGGGGGGGGGGGGGTCATACATTAATTATACAAAAATGACATTAATTCCGGTTTACCTGAAGTAAAAGTGACTTAACTTCCGGGTTTACCTGTACAAAACATGACATAGTACTTCCGGTTTACCAGCACTACGTGTGAGGTAGTACTTCCGGTTTACCAGCACTAAGTGTGAGGTGTTACTTCCTGTTTACCAGTACTAAGTGTGAGGTAGTACTTCCGGTTTACCAGCACTAAGTATGAGGTGTTACTTCCGTTTTACCAGCACTAAGTGTGAGGTGTTACTTCCGTTTTACCAGCACTAAGTGTGAGGTGTTACTTCCGTTTTACCAGCACTAAGTGTGACCTTTCACCTCAGGTACACAGCCAGCCGAGAAAACATACAGCGCGCGACAGCTGTCGTGATCACCATCTCCGCCATGTTCTCTATCCCAGTGCTGTTCATATATAAGGTGGAAGGGAACAATCTCAACAAGACAGAGGTAAGGTGGGCTTAGTGGTGGGCTTAGTGGTGTGTCGGAGGTGGTGAGCTTAGTGGTGGGCTTAGTGGTAGGCTTAGTGGTGGGTTTAGTGGTGGGCTTACAGTAGGCTTGGTGGTGGGCTTAGTGGCTGTTTTAGTGGTGGTCTTAGTGGTGGGCTTAGTGGTGGGTTTAGTGGTGGGCTTAGTGGTGGGCTTAGTGGTGGGTTTAGTGGTGGGCTTAGTGGTGGGCTTAGTGGTGGGCTTAGTGGTGGGCTTAGTGGTAGTCTTAGTGGTGGGCTTACAGTAGGCTTGGTGGTGGGCTCAGTGGTGTTTTTAGTGGTGGTGTTAAAGGAGATCTAAGTTGTGGCCTTAGAGGTGGTCAGTGGTGGGCTTAGTGGTGGGCTTTGTGGTGGGCTTTGAGGCGGGCTTAGTGGTGGACTTAGTGGTGGGCTTAGTGGTGGACTTAGTAGTGTGTTTAGAGGTAGTCTTAGTGGTGGGTTTAGTGGTGGGTTTAGTGGTGGGTTTAGTGGTGGCCTTAGTGGTGGGATTAGAGGTGGTCTTGGTGGTGGACTTAGTGGTGGGCTTAGTGGTAGGTTTAGTGGTGGGTTAAGGGGTGGACTCACATGAGATGATTACAGTGTAAACATTTCTCCTGTGAGTGTTTTCATTGTGTTTAGGATTTCCTATAAGCGTTTATAATTATGGGACATTCTCTCACTTGTCCCATTATTGATTGCATCGATATTGCTGATGGTCTATTGCAAAACATGGGCTAAGGTTTTAAAGTTTCAACTTGCTGAAACAATATGTATATATATATATATATATATATATATATATATATATATATATATACATATATATATATATATATATATATATATATATATATATATATATGTGTGTGTGTGTGTGTGTGCGTGTGTGTGTGTATATATAAATTTATATATATATATATATATATATATATATATATATATATATATATATATATATATATATATATATATATATGAATGTATATGTATTGCCGTTACAGTTGGTAGAGAGAGCCAACAATATGTACCTCAACATTGAAGAGGATGTGGACTTCACCGAGAAATACGCCGGCCTGGAGCCGGGTTTCTGTCACCTGACCTTCAACTTCGACAGCAGCTCCTCCAGCTACCACTTCATCGAGCTGGTGCGCAACGGCTACTACCTGACCAACGCCATCATGTACGGCGTCAGCGTCGTCTTCTACACCTACCAGGTCATCCGGTACCTCGACGCCCGTCCCAGCTTCGGCCGGGAGTCGGCTTACGTCCGGTCCACGACGACGTTCAGCCATCAGATCCAGTCCCAGAGCTACGAGGACTACGCGAAGCAGGAAGTGGAACACGCAGGCGCGGGTCATCAACGACGTGGATCAGCGTATCAAGCGCCGATAGAAGAAGAGGAAGATGATGATAACAACTTGACGCAGAACATGCTCAACAGCGAAGCGTACTGGCGGATGTGCAAGAAGAAGTTAAAAATAGGCGGGACGGACGTGGATGTGGCGTATGAAGACTTCCAAGCCGGGAACATTGAAGACTACTGCTGGGATTTCTCTGATCTCGCAGACGAGAACAATTCCAACGTGGAGGAACCGGTGAAGGGTGATGACGATCTGAAGGTTCACTTCAACAAGGTGGTGCACACGAACGAGGAGGAGACGCCCGTGGACTCGGCGAAGATCGCGGCTCCGCCTGTTCAGACAAGGTCCATTTTGAAGACGCCGGTTACGAAGACGGCACTTGTAAGTTGTACGCTGGTGCAGGTGTTGTTGGGTTTGTTTTTGCTGTTGTTGTTTTTATTTAGTTATTTGTGTTTTGGTCATATTTTGTATTCATTCTTCTGTTTGTTGTTTTTTCATGTTTTGTCATATTTTGTAATACTTGCTTTGCTTGTAGTTTGTTTAGGTTCAGTTATATTTTGTATTCATTGTTTTGCTGTTGTTGTTTTTATTTATTTGTGTTTTGGTCATATTTTGTATTCATTCTTCTGTTTGTCGTTTGTTCATGTTTTGTCATATTTTGTAATAATTGCTTTGCTTGTAGTTTGTTTAGGTTCAGTTATATTTTGTATTCATTGTTTTGCTGTTGTTGTTTTTATTTATTTGTGTTTTGGTCATATTTTGTATTCATTCTTTTGTTTGTCGTTTGTTCATGTTTTGTCATATTTTGTAATAATTGCTTTGCTTGTAGTTTGTTTAGGTTCAGTTATATTTTGTATTCATTGCTTTGCTGTTGTTGTTTTTATTTATTTATTTGTGTTTTGGTCATATTTTGTATTCATTCTTCTGTTTGTCGTTTATTCATGTTTTGTCATATTTTGTATTAATTGCTTTGCTTGTAGTTTGTTTAGGTTCAGTTATATTTTGTAATAATTCATTGTTTTGTCTGTTTGTTGTTTATGTTATGTCAAATTGTGTATTCTTTTTAAGTTTGTTGCATATGATCCGTCATATTTTGTATACAATATTTGTATGTTGTTTGTTTATGTTCTGTCTTATTTTGTATGCATTTATTGTATGCGCAAATTTCTAAACTTGTGAACGATTTTAAGTAATCGGAAGTGTTTCTTTACTTTATTTCCGTGTTAGCACGATAACTTGACTATTGTTTCATTTAGGTAGACGAAATTTCATAAAGTATAAGATCACTTTCAATTTTTGAGTGTCCTTCAATAACAAGGAGTGGTACTTTATTTCTTGTTTCTAGATACCGATACTTTGAGTACCGTTTCAGTTAGGTGGACACAATTTAACACATAGGTATAAGATCTTATTCTCTTGATTCTAATTTTGAGGCATTTCCGATGACCGGAAGTAGTACTCTACGCAGTTTTCGATTTCCCAAAAACATCCATTCTTCCGGACCGATTTCTTTAAAACTTTTTACTTGGGTGAAGGCTCGGTCACGATGCATAAAATCTGACTTAATTAGATGTTTAATTAACTTATACAATTAATCAATTTTTAGTTTTTAAGGATTAATTTCACACCCTTTAAAATTTCCGTTTATTTTCCATTTCGTCCGGGAAGAGAATAGTGGAGATAGAAGGGATAGATGCCTAAAAGAAAAACTGAGCTAAAACCATTTATATGTGTTTGTGTGTAATTATATATATATATATATATATATATATATATATATATATATATATATATATATATATATATATATATATATATATATATATATGGCTACAGGACATTACCCCCACGTATTTACCCCCGGAGCAATCACCCCCTGTCAATTACCCCCCCCCCCCCCCCGTCAGTTACCCCCCCCCCCCCTTTCAAGTTAGAATCCAAACTCTTACTAGAATTCTATACCTATATACTACTTTAATCCTAACCTTAAGAAAAAGACCAAAACCTAAGAATCCACCTTAGCCTAAAACTTCACACAAAACCCAAACCACCGCTAGACATTGGTTTAAGCCTAACACTAACCCTAATCCTAACCCTAATCCTAACCTTAGCCCTAACCCTAGCCCTAACTCTAACCCTGTCCGGGGGGTAATGTCCTACTGGGCGGGGGGTAATTGATAGGGGGGGGGTAATTTCTGAAACAAAAAAAGATAAACAGATAGGCTATATATATATATATATATATATATATATATATATATATATATATATATATATATATATATATATATATATATATATATGTGACCGAGCGTAGTTGCATCTTCTGCTCGACAACGCCAAATGTAACGAGTCTATTTGCCTGTAGTGCCAAATGTTAACGAGTCTAACCACTCATTCTACACAACATCGACCACAGTATAGATACTCGAAGATGCAGGTTCACTATTGATCCTTTTATTACATGAATCAAAGAAATGCTTCACAATAATATACTGAATCAAAAGAAATGCTTCACAATAATAGTCTGAATCAACTGACCCCCAACAGTCCTCACTAGTCTTCACATAACTGAATGCACATGTCTATCGTCCTTATTAACACAATACGGCTAACCCGTTCAATAACCAACTTGATACTGATCCTGTCACTGTCTCTGATACTCCTCTTACTGACTGACTGATCCCCCACTCTCTCGTTCTCAGCCGTCGCCTTCCTATATATATCCCTTCGTATTCGTAATCGGATTCGTAATCGTAATCGTATTCGTAATCGATTCTAATCGTTGCATCAGAATGTTAATTACGCCGCTTCTGTCATACAGTCCGATTAATAAGCCATCTGCACTGTTGCGTCAGCCAAGTCGTGTCAAAGTTGACAGCGCTTGTCGTATCCTTCCCAAAATACGCCGTGGCTTTATGATCGTTATCAGCCTAACACCTGCACTATTGCGTTGTTATCGTCTCTGGTAACTACACCTAGTTACATATATATATATATATATATATATATATATATATATATATATATATATATATATATATATATATCTGTTTATCTTTTTTGTGTTTCAGAAAATCAGCTCCTACAAGAAAGCCTTCATCATATTTATTCTCATTGATCTTCTGATCATTGCCCTGGCCGTCGTCTGGTTCATAGCGACGAAGGGCGAATCGACAGTTCTCAACGCCATCCACCTGAAGAGCATCATCTCGTTCTATTTCATGTCCCTCTTCAACCGAGAACTGCGTCGAGCCACTTGGGGGCGGGTCTGCAAGTGCTGCCAGCCATCGCAGAAGGATTCGAAAAGCAAGCCCACGGGGCAGGAGTTCTTCGGCAGCAACGTGCGGCAAGAGCTGATGCAGAAGTGGGGGCGGATGTCCATGTCGGATTTCGCGGACGAGGAGAGTTACGTGTCTGGGGTGAGCGACTTGCCGGAACCGAAGAATAACGCAGGAGAGGCGCCCCAGCAACCCGGGGTAGTGCAAGAGAAGGACTATGTCAAACGCGAAAAAGACGTTGAGGTTGTCTAAGCGCTGTGGCGAACAGTACGAACGAGCATGGAGGGGGGGGGGATACGTTTTGTGGGTTTTGTGGAAAAAAGGAAACAATTGTGTTGATTTTACACTTTGAAGAAATTAAATTTATAAATCTACGCTACTGTGTTATCTCCTTCTTCGTTCTTAATTTTAGTGTTGGAAGGAATTCCCCTCCAACACAATAGGGCTGGTAAGTAGGTCACCAACCAATTATATGGCTCATGGAGGTTTAATTGAGCCGTAGAACTGTTTGGTGACATATTTACCAGCCCTATTAAGGATACGCATACGTGTTATGCGCCATTGAGGCGATTGACTGCGATTTCAGCCTGCTTTTCTTTTTGGATTAGCTTCCATAGCCTTTGTCCAACCAAGAACAATCTTCAATGCAGCAGTTGTTTGATTTTGGAGTTGTCTCTCCTAGAAGAGTGGCTACCCCCAGCTAAAGAGCCTCATCTGCCCGAGGGTTCGAACTCGAGACTTTTCTGTTTAGCAGCCATGAGCTTTACCGACTCGAGCACGCCACTGCGTTATCTTACTTTGGGAGTTAAATTTTGAGGGAGGAGAAGAGGGAGGGGTGCATAGGGAACTTGTGACTCCGTACTAAACAAAAAAGCGATGTTACTAATTGTTGTTGGTTTGATTTCCTTAGAGAAAATAAAAGTACAATGACAATTTGACAACATTTGAGCTGAGGGAGACTGGACAAAAATGGTCAATCAGCAGCACATAGGCATACTTTAACATACCTTGCTACATATAGCTTAACCCATCGTTTACACATGCTCATAGATTTAAAACTACAATGGGTGCTTACCGCACCAGGTGACACCATTTAGTGGGTGACACCATAGCAAAAATAGTTAGAAAAAAATGATCATTCCAGTTAAAAAAGATTATTAATTAGAGATAAAAAGTCTTTTAATTAAGAGCAAAATCGACAAATCCTGTCACAAGTGTGTGTGTGTGGGGGGGGGGGGGGGTAACACCATGATGTAAAACTGCAAACGATATAGAAAACAATACTACATTCAGCTATATATATAACCGACTATAAATGATCTTTTGAGGGCATATATATATATATATATATATATATATATATATATATATATATATATATAATAAAATATAGATTTTTTTCTGGGCTTGGGATAACATTAGGTGCCACACCGGGTGCCACCCGACCTAGCGACGCCACTGTCAACAAGTATTATCAATATAAATACTTCACGTAACTAGTGCGCAACATGCAGTACTAGTAGGAAAAAGAAGTAATATAAAATATAATTTACAATACCTTCATTAGGTCTACGTAACCAGTTACACAGCTGAATGCCGCGGAGACAGGTACGACTACACAGAGTCCCAGAGGTCACATGACATGGGAACATCACTCACATGAAAAATAGCATCAACCGTTGCGGTCCCAAAGGGGCCGCAACCAAATAAATTACAAATTATCCCCCGTGACGGGTAAACCATAGTATGTGTTAAATCGTTTATGGCATCATCAGAGCTGACTTAAAAATCAAATCACCTGATTATGTTACAGGCTTTGTAATAAGTCAGTTATTATTGGGTGGCGTGGCCTAAGCGGCAGAGCGCTAGGCTGCTAACCCGGAAGTCTCCTATGATGGGTACTCAACTTTTGTTGGAGAAAGTAAATTCAAAGTTCTGACCATACCTTCCCTTCATGTCGAGGTGAAGAAACATGAACTTTACTTCATCTGCCGTATGAATCACTAGGTCTAAAGAGGATTCTTTAAATCAGTTATGAAACAGGTACTCTAATTCAGCTGCTCTAAGGATATATATATATATATATATATATATATATATATATATATACCAAGTATGTTTAGCTAAAGTATGTGGTGATGGGTGGCAAGAATCAACACACACACACATATATATATATATATATATATATATATATATATATATATATATATATATATATTTGAATATGTGTAAATATATGTAATATATATATACCAAGTATGTTTAGCTAAAGTATGTGGTGATTGGTGGCAAGAATCAACACAACACATAATTTATCTTGAGATGTTCTCAAGAAATGTTTTATTCTGAATTATTGCAAAAAACATAGAACATTATATGTTTATTAAAAATAAACCAGGCACATTTAACACTTCCTTTCCTCTTTTTTTTCAAACACATCTTCTATCCAGTCACTTTTTGTCATGCCCTCTTGTAAAACCTAGAGGGCATGTGATCATCATGTGGTCCGTTTCACTCTACTTATCCAGAATATTAATATTATGCTGTTAAATACATGAGAAAGTAAATCACACATTACAATTATTTAACTGAATAAATGACACAAATTTACAATATCCAGTGAATCACTCAACCAAAAAATTACTTTTACATTTAAACCATAGCCTGAAGTTTACTTGATTAAAAAACAGATACCAGCAAGTTCATAATCAGTGTTTCTTCCAGACTTTTTTCTCCGGGGGGGCACTTGAAATCTTCGGGGGGGGCGGTAAACTTTCTTCGGGGGGGCGGACACTGTTAAAAGTATATATTTTCTATATAAATTATATAAATTTCATTTCGTTCGGGGGGGCGGTAAAAATTTTTCGGGGGGGCTTCGCCCCCCCGAAGAGATGCCTGGAAGAAACTCTGTTCATAATATCAAACAATCAATGGCCTCCAGTTTACTATGTCAACAAAATGATACAATCCTACACAAGATTGTAAACAAAAGCTTTATGACAATGTCCAATTTTAATTACATCATTAACACAAACTTACTACCCAACCGATTAACCCCACAACCCACTACATTAAGCACATCACCTATCCTACTAAGCCACTACCCAATACAACAAAGCCCATAACAGAACCCACTGGGGCCTCAACTCACCCCAGTAAGCCCACAACCCCCCCCCCCCCCCCCCCCACAATCAAGTGCACAAATAAATACAGGCTGCCAAATGAGTCATTTAAAAAACCAAGTCACATGATTTGGGCAAACAAAACAAAATCACATGACTAATCAAATATCACATGACTTTATCAATATCACATGATTGGATAAGAAAAAAAACACAAACTCCAAATGAACCATAGTGTATGTATAGTGTGTCTAAAACCTCACTTCATCAACGGGGATTTGAACCCTTTCCTACTGGCTTCAGTAAGTCCAGTTGGTAGTGGAGAAAGAGGGGTGGGACGGTCGTATGCCAAAAGTCTGGACATCTTATGTCTTAGCAGCGACTTCCTCTTCTTCAAGACATCAGACTCCTCTTCCTTGCCGCCATCTGCAATACTTCCGGAACTATTTCTTCTAGCTCCGGGATCTCTGTTCATATTAACAGAACCTTTGGATGATGCTACCAATTTAAAACCAGGGGAATTTTTTTCACCTGGAACTTTTGAGAGGTGGCTGGAGTTATGGTCACCTATGCTGCCATGTTTGGTGTTGGTAGGTGCAGATGAGCCTGTAGGCCGAGGATTTGTGTTGAAGGTGCCCTGACTCATGGGGCAGAATATCTTCTCAATAATTTCTGCAGGGAAATCTTCAGTGTAATTCTCCTGGAAAGTTTAAAAATGGTTTTTCTGATTATTTTAGTAGTGTGTTTATTAATCTTATGGTAATTATATTATATAATAATTATAAAATATAATATGATAAGTATAATATATATAATAATTATATTACATCTTGTGTTTTCATGTAAGATAAAAGAATGGAATTAAATTATTTTTAAAAAATAGACCTTATTGCTCAAATTAATTATTTAACAGCTCTATATTTTAATTAAATATTTCAAGAGTGCAATTCTGAAAAAATAAAAACAGATTTTTATAATTTTAAAAATATATATCATTCATTGCTTAAACAAATTATTGATCAGTTGTTTTTTTTTAAATGTCTTTCTGCTTTGCTGTTCAAAACTTTGAATTGGAGGTAAAAAATTATATTGATTCCTTAAACAAATTATTCTATAAGATATATATTAAAGAAAATATTTTTTATTAAATTTGCAATAAAGGCATTGGGCTATAAGGCATGTCCTTGTGGAAACAAAAATAGTTTTAAAAAAACCAGCAACATCAGGTATTAGTGCTTGCTTACAACACATATTTAGATAAAGGTTAACTCACTTATGCAGAATTACTTAGAGCAGTGCAAGACTGAGAAAAATGGCACAAAATTAAGAAAATAATCAACTGTCATGCTCGTACGATTCCAGAGGTTAAAAGACTTTTAACTGAAACTCCATGATATTTTATCTGCACATAGCTAATAAAAACTCTACAAATTTCTTGAGCAGATCCATCACAAGTTTCATAAAGGTTTAACCTTGGTATCCTTAGCTATTAATTTCACTAACTTAAGAAGATCTATCCTGTTTCCCTGCTCACCTTTTCAACTTACACACAAATTTAGCATGCTAAACTATTCATGAACCTTTCCATTGACTTACATTGACAGTAACTCTTGGTGGCTTACAAGACGAGTTACTGAGAGTTATCTCCAGTTGTTTCCCCAGCTTCTGAATCAAGTCAGGTAACTGGAGAAGATAAAAAATGTTGATATAATAATTTGTACATGCAATGCTTATCTAGCTTTGACTGTTATTCTTCTCATCATCATTTATTGTTCATCACTAGACACATGGGGCAGATGAAGTAGAGGTCATCTATTCCAGAGACCCTAACATATGAAGGGATAGTGTGGCTAGCGCTATGTCCAGCCTCCTTTACTTTCCCTAATCTGAGTTAGGTACCCAAACTGGGTGGACTCAATGACATTCTACCAATTTAAACCCGGATTTCAACTCGAGACTTTGGGTTAGCAGTCTAGCACTCTACACACTAGGCCACGCAGTCCCATTACTGTTATTAGTAAACACAAAAATCTTACTTGGATTAAGTTATACAATTGGTCAGTAATACTAAAGTTAAAAGTAATAGAATCTTTTTAAAAAAGGTAAGTGTTAGGTTAAGGTAGTAAA